GTTTCCTAGGCCAGCCAGTCTGCACCAGCATGGAGGCTGAAGTTTACATCCTGGGCATGGGCAGACTGAGGTCAGAGAGGACAGGGACTAGCCAGAGGTCACACAGGTAGTTGGGTTAGTGGGCCAGACTTGGCATCCTGATTCCAATCTGGGTTGTTTCCACTGCCCTATGGCTTTCTTCTGTTAGGCATCAAAAAGTGGGGTAACTTTCCCAAACCCACACAACTATCTAGAAACAGGGCCAGATTCATTCATTCATTAACATTTACTGCCAGTTGGAGCTGGTGGAGAGAAGCAGCCAAATTCAAGAGATAACCGAGACACTGAGCCGGGCACAGTGGTGCACGCCTGTAATCCCAGCAACTTGGGAGGCTGAAGCAGGAGGATTGAGAGTTCAAAGCCAGCCTCAGCAACTTAGCAAGGCCAGGTCTCAAAATACAACATAAAAAGGGCTGGGGATGGCTCAGTGGATAAGCACCCCTGGGTTCAATCTTTGGTACCAGAAAAAAAAAAAAGACAGAGAGGGAGAGACAGATAGACACTGACACCTGACACACTCTGTTGATAGATTGGATGGGAGGTTTTTTTTTTTTTTTTTTTTTTTTTTTTTAAGTCATTATCTGAGGACGGGATGGGGATGAGATCTCATAGAGAAGGAGAGTACAGAGAAAGCAGCCTCAGGTAGAAACCTTAGACTGGCCAACATTTTGTGCCAGGTAGAAGAGACAAAGAGGTCTGGTCATAGTGGGAAATAGGAGAGTGCAGTGTCTTAGAAACCAAGAGAAAAAAAAGGTCTGTAAAAATAGTGGTCACCAGGGGCTAATGCCACTGCGAGGTTGCATAAGATGAGATACCACTGGTGAGGCAGGGTGGTCACTAGGAACTCTAGAGAAAGGAGTTTCAGTGCAGAAGCTGGGTCACATTGGAAGCAGACATGGCTTCTGTGAAGAGATGCAGAACCACAGATGAGCCAAGTAGATCTGCCAGGCTGGACTAGCTAAGACTGGAGGATGTAAATGCTAGATTGGCTCCAGGCTGGGTCCTGCAGAGGGGTGAAGTGACTGTGCCCCAAATAAAGAAGTCCCCGTCTTCAGGCCTAAACACTCTTCAGCTTGCCACATGGAGGGCTTTGGGGCCCTTTCAGGCCTGTGTGTCTCTCGTGGAGAGAGCACCCCAACTATGGGCCTGCCTGCTGGAGAAGAAACAAAGCCAGAAAAAATGGAAGGAGCCTGAGACAGGACCCCCAGTCTGTCCTCCCTGAGGAGGGACAATATGGGATGGTATACAGCAGGAAACCGAGCCAGGAAACTAAACTTAGGGCACCAGAAAACAGGACAATAATGATGAGAAAAATGTTTAGAAAGAATGTGAAAGTTTATGTATATAGGCATATTCCCCAGATTTTTTGAGGTATGATTGGCATATAAAAATTTTATCTAAAATTTACACCATGCTGATTTGATATAGATATCTACTGAAAATGAATACTACACAATCAAGTTGATAACGCATCCATCACTTCATATGTATAGTCTTTTTATGTCTGTATAGTGAGAACACTTAAGATTTATCAAATTTCAAGGACATAATAGTGTTGCTAACTATAGTGATCATGCTGCATGTTACATTCCTAAAACTTATCCATCTTACAGTGGGAAGTTTGTACCCTTTGACTCCATCCTCAGCCCCTAGCAATTACTATTACACTCTCTGCTTTTGTAGATTCACCTGAGATTTCACATTAAGTGAGGTCATACAGTATGTCTTTTTTGTGGTTGGTTTATTCCACTTAACATAATGTCTGTCTTCCAAGTTCAACCATGTCGTTACAAGTGGCAGAATTTCCTTCTTTTTATGACTGAATGTATCTCACACGTTCTTTATCCATTCACCAATGGATGGACATTTAGGTCGACACCATATCTTGGCTATTGTGAATAGTGATAATAAACATGGGAGTGCAGGTATCTCTTTGGATACATATCCCGAAATGGGATTGATGGATCCTATAGTAATTTTATTTTAATTTTTTGAGGAATCCCCATACTGTTTTCCATAATGGTTGCACCAATGTATGAGGATCCCCCCACCCCGCCTCCGTCAATCTTCACCAGCACTTGTTACTTCTTGATGGCAGCCACTCTATCTCCTTGTGGTTTTGATTTGTGTTTCCCTGATGACTAGTGATGCTGAGAACATTTTCACATGCTTCTTGGCCATTTTGTAGGTCTTCTTTGGAAAAATGTCTATTCAGGTTCTTTTGGCCATTTTTAAATCAGGCTGTTTTTCTACTATTGAGTTGTATAAGTTCCTTATATATTGTGGATATAACTCCTTATTAGACATATGGCTTGCAAATATTTTCTCCCATTCCATAGGTTGTTTCATTTTGTTGATTGCTTCCTTTGTTGTGCAGAGCTTTTTAGTTTGTTGTAGTCCTGCTTAGTTTTGCTTTAATTGCTTGTACTTTGGTGTCAAATTAAAAAAAGAAAAATCGCCAAGACTCGTGTAAAAAGCTTCTCTCCTATTTTCCTCCAGAAGTTTTACAGTTCAGATTTTACATTTAAGTATTAATAAGTTTTTCTTTAAAGCATTGAAATACACATAAGAAAAAATGGAACCTGGGGGACTTTCTTATGCCTATCGTAGGCTTTGTTAATGTGTATTGTGATTAGACACAGGAGGACATCAAATTCTTTCCAAGGTCTAGGGACTCTAAAGGTTCAGGCTCTCCCTCTGGGGTTCTTGCCTTCCCCTGGAGGCTAGCACTGAAAGCCACCTCCAGGTCCTGACAGCTGGGCCTTGTTCTCAGAAGCCCTCCCTTCTCCTTTCATTTGCATCTCATTAGCACCACTTGGAGCTGGTGGCAGCTCTGCCTGGAGCTTTGGGAGCGGCTGCGTCCTGGCCCAGGCCCTGCTCCCAGCGTGGAGAGGGGTGTAGCGATGGCTCTCCCCTCCCCCTTTCCTTCCCACAATCCGCTGCCACTGGGAGGGCGCAGGCGGACGAGGTGTGCCCAGTTCTCCACACCCCCACCCAGGCTCAAGTCGCCTAGGCTCCCGCCCCCGCTCGTTCCCATGGCAACGGGGTGATGGAGCGGGGTTGCGGTGCCTGCTGAGGAGCAACGCGGCCACCCAGCTACCCGCCCCTCTGCCGCCCAGGCTGGATTGGTGACAGGCACGGCCTCAATCTCCCGAGATGATCGGCGATAATTGGTTTATGGAAATAGCTGAGAGGAGAAGGCGAGCTCCCTGCTAGAAACCAGCCTCCCCGCCAAGCCCGCTCTCGGCCACCTGTCCTTCCCTCACCACGGAAATGGAGGTGGGGGAAGGGAGGGCCGAGGAGCTGGGCTGGCGCAAATGGGTTTTGGAGGCAAGCAAGGCCAGCTTTTCACCTGTTGGTCTCCAGCATGGCACCTCTCCCCCTTTCCCTGTGTGTGGGAGGCGGGGCTGCTTGTTATACCCAGGTGTGGGTATAACAAGCTATCATGGGGCTTCTAATCCTTTAGTGCACCCCATAGCCCCAGCCAGCAGTCTGTGCTCAGTCCTGTGTTGGGTGCATTGTTGCAGAAATGGAGAATGAAACTTGGGACCCTCAGGGAGCCTCAATTAGCGGGATAGAAGAGAAGCACATAAACCATATTTATATAAAGTATTTCAGACCAGTGTTGTTACTACTGCGGGGCTCCAGAGGATCAAGAGCTCAACTCTGGTGGCTGGCTGCCTGGAGGAGGCATCTTGATCAAGGCATTGAAAGTGAGATTTCAGTAGGAATGGGTGGTTTTGATTTGTGTTTCCCTGATGATTAGTGATGCTGAGAACCTCTTCACATGCTTCTTGGCCATTTTGTAGGTCTTCTTTGGAAAAATGTCTATTCAGGTTTTTTTGGCCACTTTTAAATCAGGCTGTTTTTTTACTATTGAATTGTATAAGTTCCTCAAAACTCCCCACAAGGAAATGCAGGCAAAAGCTTGTAGGCAGGAATTCAATGATGCCGCCTCGATGGGAGGCCATGGCTGCTTAGTGTCTACAGAAGGGGTCAAGGGAAGACAAGACCCTTGGAGAGGTTAATGCATGATGCTCTAAGATAAAGACCGAGCAAGTGTCCAACCTCCACAGGGAAAGCTGGATACTGGACACTGTGCTGTTGCTTGATGACTTTCTAGGAGAGGTGGGTAGCAGATATGGTATGCTGGGATTCAGAAACCAGGTGGGAGAAGTGTGTATCTTCAGCTGCTGGTTGGGGCTATGGGGTGCACTAAAGGATTAGAAGCCCCATGATAGCCAAGCATGGTGGCACATGCCTGTAGTCCCAACAGCTTGGGAGGCTGAGACAGGAGGATTGAGAGTTCAAAGCCAGCATCAGCAACTGAGCAAGGCCCTAAGCAACTTAGCAAGACTCTGTCTCTGAATTTAAAAAATAAAATATAATAAAGGGCTGGGGATGTGGCTCAGTAGTTAAGTGCCCCTAGGTTTAATCCCCAATACCAAAAGAAGAAGAAGAAGAGGAGGAGGAGGAGGAGGGGGAGGGGGAGGAGGAGGAGGAGGAGGAGGAGCCCCCCCATGACAGACATGGCTGGAGAGAAGTAGGAGCCAAGGGGGAGGGTGGTTGTGAAGACCACAATGTCTAGGGCATGGTGGGATAGAGGCCAGGAGAGGCAGACCCTAAGTCTTCTCTGATCAGCACCCCAACTGAGTCCAGCCTAGGCCTCAACATAATAAGGGTCCTGCCAGCCTGAGGTGGAGCTGTGGCCAAGCCTGGCCTGACTGGTTGTGGAATCAAGAGGTGATCCTCTGGGCTGGCGTCCTTCCTTCCCAGCCTTGTATGCCGTTGCAAAGAAGCACACCACGCCTTCATTTTGCAGAACCCAGAGCCCTTGTGCAACTTCTTCTCTGGGTATCACTGCCCCAGTTCTGAACCCTCTGGTGTTTATTATCCAAATATCCTTCCCATAATTTCTGCTCACAGCCCAGCACCACCCCTGCCCCACCTCACCCAGCTACTTACACTACCACATAGGGATATGGTTCAGAGCCATCCTCACAGGAGGGAAGGTTGGTAGCACCATGAAGAGTGACCATGATGGTCTCCATATTAGAGGGAGACAGGTGGCTGTTGTCAGGTTTCGTGCTTTGGGAGGTGTTCAGGGGGTCCTCTGGGCCCTCAGTGACCTGTGGGGAGAGAGTCAGGGCTGAGTGGCCTCTTCTGATATGGCGTCTCCCTTTACTGTCCCCCTATAACCTCTAGCCTCCTTATAGGTCCTCCTTTGGAGGCTGTCTTCCTGTCATTTCCCCTAGCCCAGAAGCACAAGGCAGTTGTCCTTGAAATCGTTTTCTCCCTGCCTCTGTCACATATTCCACATGCCCTTCAGCGCCTCTCTTGCCTCTTCCCCAGCCCTGGATTGTCCCTTCCTGCAGCAGAAGACAGGCTACCTCACTTCTCATATGCAGTCCTACCTCTAAGCCTCTGCTTTTGCAGCTATCTTTCTTTGCTTATGGTTCCTCAACCCCACCTGCTCTCCAGGTCCTAGAGATTGGCCAGTCTTTTCTATAACTTCACCTCAGCCACCTGTCACTTCAGGTCCCTCCTGTGCATAGCACTTTGCAGTTTACAAAGCTTATCCCCATCAGGGAAGTCATCATGGCTTTAGTGGAGATAATGGATGTACTTCTCTCCAGGGAACCCTGCACATGGAGAGGGAGGAGAGGCACTGTCCATGTAACGCCCAGGCCTCCTAGGACAGGTGCCCCAAGCAGACAGGTGCAGGGGCTCAGTGGCTGGATAGCAGGAATTCATGACCCAGAGGAGCACAGTGATGAAAGTTGCTGAGGAGGTAGGGCAACAGTGGCAACTGGGGCAGTCAGGAAAGGCAGTGGGACAGAGGCCTTCAAGGGAGGGCAGGAGAACACCAGAGGTGAAGTCATTTTGAGTCAGAAGACAGAAGGCTGCAGCCTGGGGTGGGGCAGTGAAGTGGGAAGGGGAGGGAAGTTTCTGAGGCCAGAGGAGGCTGTTTGACCACAGAGCAGTGGGAAGGCAGGGAAGGTGGCAGAGCTGGGGATGTCCGTGGTGAATGAACACCGCATGGTGGAGAAGAAAGGGGACTTGAGGCTCCTGTGGTTTGGGGATATCCTGATCCTCCCTCTGTACTGGCTGGTCGCCTGACCTCCATTTCCAGTACCTGGAGTTGACCCAATAGACCCGGTTTAACTCTGGCTAGCCTTCACCTGGCAGGAGGCCACCCATTCCCTTAGTCCCTTCTGCTGATCCATAGCCATATGGAGGGACCTTCATGGCCCTGGGAGAGGAGCCATGGAGCTCTTCAGGTTGGAGGTGGAGCCCTGAGAGGCTGACTTCTTACCTGGAAAGCTCAGCCTGTCAGATCCTGCATTCTAGGGCAGGCCCTGGGGGTGGGGGTGGAGGACAATGTCCTATTAGACTGAGGGAGACTGAGGCCCAGAGAAGAGGGAGGACCTGCTTACTGTGGTGGTTCCTGGTGAGCGCTGCTGGGGCTGTTGGGTTTACCTCATTCTGAGGCTTTCCGCTGTGGGATGCAGGGCAGCTGCGTTCTGAGAGTGGAGCTCCCCATCAGGACATTGAGAGACCAACCTAGTCTGTCGGGGAGTAGACCTGCTGCCACCTTGGGCTGGGGATCCTGGGCATATTGCTATCCTCAGGCACAGGGAAAAGGAAGAACCAAGGCTTGAGGCCCTGCTCAACCCTGAGGAGTTTTAGTGATGTGACTTCATTTGGTTTTTGCCCTGACACAGGTAATGGGGGCTCCATTCTTGGAGTTGCTCAAGCCCCACAGCTTGGAGTCCTCCTTGGTTCCTCTCCTCCTCTCACATCCCTCACCCAGTCCCCCAGCACATCCTGTCAGCCCTACCTTAATCCATCCCTAGAATTGCCCCTTTCCAACCCTTCCCACCATCTCCCTGTGGAGCACTGGGTCCCAAGACACCAGATGTCTGCTCTGGCTCCTCGTTGCTCTTTCCCTTCTGGCCCTCCCCCATTCCCTCCCATCTCACACTGCAGCCGGAGGGAGCCATTACGAATTTAAACCACTCCTTGGCTCATAATCCTGCCCTAGAGTCCTGTCTCTTAGAGCCTTGCAATGGCCTTGTCTTATGCCTGGGTCCCCCACTCACTCTCTCCAGCCACACTGGCTTCCTAGATGTTTCTCACATCCACCAATCTTCCTCCTGCCTGCCAGCCTTTGTCCTGGTTGGGCTACTCTATCCTGATTTTACCCAGGGCTGTCAATCCTGTACCTTGCTCCCGAGTTTCCTTTGGCCTTCCTGGTGTAGGCTGTGTCCTTGCCTAACAAGAGAACTCATTAGAGGGTGAGAATAAGCCCTCTCCCTGCTTCAGCCTCAGGAGAGACCCCTCCCCTTCCTCTGACTGAGGAGGGTACCCTCCCCCCAGCAAGGGGACCTGCCAGCATCTGCAGAGGTGTTGATGAGAGTAACCACCCCCTATTTCCCTGCCAGGCCAGGGAGGAAGGGGAGGGAACCCCCACTAGATGGAGTGGCTGTAGGGGAAGTAGCCACAGACCGCTGCCTCCCCTCCTAGGCCAGACTGCTTGCTTCCCAGTGTTCCATTCTCACTGAGTGTCACTGTGTCACCATCATCAGAACTAGCCTAATCCCCATCAGGTTTGGTCTGCTGGCTTCCAACCAGCTTTGCCTCCAGTTCTCTGAGCCTCAGGGGAATGTCTGGAATGCCACTCTCCTAGTGGTTGATGTGCCTGAGTTTCCTTCAGTGAGGCTCCTAATGTCCCTCCCACCCCTAGATTGAACTTTGTTGCTATGAGGGCCAGGGACTGCTGTAAGCAACTTAGAGCCACAGAAGTGAAGGCCCAGAAGCACAGCAGTGGTCCAATGTCTCACTGACTCCCTGGCAGCCCCAGAGCCCAAGTAGGCCTCTAACCAGGCCCAGGAGTTGTGTTGCCTCTTTCCCTATCCGCTCCATGCCTCCCCTTCAGGAACAGCCTTCCAGGAAATACAGCCTGCAGAGGATTTGGCAGGCACTGCTCATGCTTCACTTCTGGGCATGAGGCCAGCTGCCAGGCTGGCGCCTCCTGGTGAGGCCTGTGGGCATGTGCCCATTGTCAGGCTAGGCCCAGGGCCAGGGAGGCCTGGGGCCAAGGGTGAGGACTCCAGTGGGAATGGTGGGCCAGGGCCTCAACCTTCTGCTTTTTCCTCTTTTCTTCCCACCTCTGGATAGGAATCTGCAGACTTCCTTCCCTCAGAGATGTCTCTGTGTTAGAATCAATGTCCCCTGCATGTCCCCCATTTCTGACCAGTACTGAAGAATTCCCATACTCTCAGATACTTGGGAGGCTGAGGCAAGAGGATCACAAGTTTGAGGCCCATCCCAGTAACTTAGGGAGACACTATTTAAAAATAAAATAAAAGAACTGGGAAGTATAGCTTGGTGGTAGAGTGCCTCTGGGTTCAATCCCCGGTACCAAAAAAAAAAAAAATTCAGGTGTTGGGTCACATATTGGGGAGTGATGTGGGTGATGGTGAACCTCCCAAAGTCTCAGACCACACAGATCTATCTGTGGAGTGAGATGACCCCTGGGAGGGAATTCACTTCCTCTGATTGTCTCCTGCAGCCTAGGAGCAAAACTGGGTGCTCCCTCTTGGCTTCTCAAGCTCACCCTCAGCTCACCCACTCAACACTGCTAGAAGCAGAAATCAGAAGGCCACTTTTCCAGGCAGGGGTTTGCCTCAGTTCCTTCCGAGGTCACACAGCCTATAAATGGCAAGCGGGTACCCGGTATGGAAGCCTGTGGACCCCCAACTACTCCGTGGGGCTCATCCATGGCAGGCTCGAAAGCCACTTGATCCGAGCCTTGGCAGTCCACACAGGCAGACTTGTCCTTAATAAGCCAGGATTATCCAGCAGCTGTCCTAGGAGACCTGCCTATCACTCAGGGCAGTTTGGAATGTGTGTGGCGGGGAGTGGGAGGGATGAGAGGAGGAGGACAGGACCAGCAAAGAAAGAGTTAATGGCCCATTTAATTCAGTTCCCAGGAGTGGGTAGCTTAAATTGGTTCTGGAGGGGAGAGGGAAGGAAGGAGATCTATTCCCCATCCCCATTCCCTCCTCCCTGCCATCCCTCCTCCCAGGAATCTGGGAAGTCACTAGAAGCTCAGAAACCCAGGTTCCCCCTCCAGAAGGCTCCTGTGTCTGGAGAGGCTCTGCTGGGCCCTCAGAGGGGTCCCTGGGCTGGGAGGGTCTGGCTGCCCTCATCTGTCATTTGGGCAAGTTACTAGACTTCAATGGGCCTTTGAATTAAAACCTTTGAATTAAATTTGTGCTCTTTCTGTTTCAGCATCTGAACTTGCCTGGTGTTACCATGGCCAGGGGAAGGAAGATCCTGTTAGAGCAATAAAACCTACTTGGGGAGTGAAACCCCTCCACCAAGGCACCAAGGCTGAGCCAGTGGGGGCAGAGCTGGAACTGGAGCCAGGGTCTGTGTGTCCCCATGATCGGAGGCCTCTGCTCTGCCTAAACCACGTTGCTTTGAATGTGGGGCTCATTCTCTGGACTGTAACCCCTGTAACCTGAGTACTCATTGACAGTAGGGAGAGGTTGTGACATCTGGGGCAAGAAAGCCTTTCAAAAAAAATGACGCAGAGCTGGTGGTATAGCTCAGTGGCAGAGCACGTGTCAGGCCCTGGGTTCCATCCCCAGCTCCAAGCAGGGGAGAAAAGAAGATGACACAAAAGTCAGAAATCATAAAGAATTAAGTTTGGTTATGTTTTTTAAAATCCATACCAATTTTTTTTAATATTTATTTTTTAGTTTTTGGTGGACACAACATCTTTATTTTTTTTATTTTTATGTGGTGCTGAGGATTGAACCCAGCGCCCTGCGCATGCCAGGCAAATGCGATATGAGCCACATCCTCAGCCCAGTATACCAATTTTTTATAATGGCCCCAAATTTACCACAATGCCCCCCCCAAAAAAAAAAGACAAATGGGAAAGTTGCAATAAATAAAAAGGATTAAAATATCTAACACACAAAGCACTGAAATCTATAAATATCATCACAATAGAAGATCTGATCTGGGGATTCACAAAAGAAGGAATATGAATATATAATGCTTTATATACATCATGGACATCCTTGTGGAGGATTCTACCCAGCTATTAAAGTGT